GTCATGGGGAGATCCACGCCTCGACTATGAGTGCGCGGTCATCCACGCAATAACCAATGCGGGTTGAGTGGTTTAATTCTATTAACTTTTGGCAATGATTTATTCATTTATATTTTATTTGTTAGTTTAGACTTTTATAATCTTGATTATTGATAATTTGAACTTGTTAAAAGTTTGATACTTGTATGTTTTATTTAAGTACATATTACTTACTTATAGATATTGTGCAAGATTGAAAATTTTAAGTAATAGTACTAGTCTACTAGAACCAGACCAAACCAAATTAGAATTGAATGGTTCGATTCGGTTTGGTTTCACTTCTTAAAAAAAACTATTCAGTTCCATTATCAGCAAAACCATTGGTTCATGGTCCAGTTTGGTTCTCTTAGAACCAGAACCAAATGGAACTACGTCCACCGTCAATTCTAATAAATCACAATATACTATCCATGATAACTGGAATAAAATGCAATTTTTACTCAATCAATTAGGGATTTTGACACTCCCCTTCAAGTTGAATTGTAGATGTTAATCATATCCAACTTGAAAATGAAATCATCAAATTTCTGTCTAGGTAGTCCTTTGGTGAAAACATCTACAACCTATGTTTGTGTAAGAACATACATCATGCAAATGGTTCTTTCGTCAACATTTTCCTTAATAAAGTGTCAATCCACGTCTACGTGCTTTGTTTCGGTCATGCTGAACTGGATTAAGGGAAATGTTGATTTCTGCTTTACTATCACAGTAGAGTTTGATGGCCAACTTTACTACGACATTTAATTCTTCCAACAGTGTTTTCAACCACTGTACTTTGCATTGGTCCCAAATCCTTTACCTCAAATTCAGTGGCAAGGCTTCTCTTTAGTCTTTCCATTTCAACTATATTATCACCTGTCAAAATAATATCATAGACATATACTATTAGAGTCATTTTAGTACCATCTTCAAATGGTCGAAGAAACATGGTGTGATCTGACTACCCTTAGCGATATCCCTGACTTTTTAGTACTTTCGCAAACCTATCAAACCATGCTCTTGGCGACTGCTTGAGTCCATAAGGATTTTTTCAGCTTGCATACTTGATTTCTTTCATTTACCTTACAAAATTCTAGTGGTAATATCATGAATACTTCTTCTTCCAATTTCCCATTTAAGAAAACATTTTTAATAGCTAGTTGCTGAAGTGGCCAAACCAAATTTGTAGCTAGTGATAGAAGAATTCGAATTGTATTCAGTTTTACTACTGGTGCAAATATTTCTGTATAGTCAATGCCGTAAGTCTGTGTGTATCCTTTTGCAACCAACTGAGTTTTATACCGTTCTATTGTCCCATCGGCTTTGTCTTTCAAGTTAAAAACCCATTTACATCCAACGGGTATTTTTTCCTTTTGACAGATCCATCACTTTTCAGGTCTCATTTTTTTTCCAAAGCTCGCATTTCTTTCAAAACTGTTTCTCTCTATTTTGAAATTTCCAAGGTTTCCTGAATGGTTCTTGGGATCATTGTACTGTCAAGATGAGTGGTAAAAGCATGAAATCCTGTAGTTAAAGCATTATATGATAAGAATTTTGAAATATGATGTAGAGTACATGACCGTGTTTATTTTTTTGAGAGCAATGGGTAAATCCGTATCCGATATCTCTAAGGTTTTTTGAGGTTCTGGAGCTACGATCTGTTCTGACTCTTTTGATACTTCAGATGTGAGATTTTCCAAGTTATTTGATTTTGGCTTTCTTAAATAAACCAGTATATCCTTATCATTCTGTTTTTCTACATCTCCTCCTGTATTCAAGTTCCCTTCTATCATTAGCATAGTAGATTCAGATGGTAGGACAAGTTCAGGAGATGAGAGACTGAAGTCAAAGAACCAATCTTCATGCAAGGTCTCCTCCCGAAGAGAGTTGTTGGTAAAGTATGGAGTATTTTCAAAAAAAGTAACTTCAAGACTTACGAAGATTTTCTTCGTGGAAGGATCATAGCATTTGTAGCCCTTTCGTGTAGGAGAGTATCTAATCAAAACACATTTAACAGCTCGGGGATCTGGTTTACTTCGGCGATGAGAGTGAATATGAACGAATATAGTACAGCCAAACACTCTTGGGGGTAGATTAGAGCTAAGTCAAGAAGTCGGGAAGTATTTCTTAAATTTTTAGATTGGTGTCTCGAAGTTTAGGACACGACTGAGCATTGGATAGATTAAATAGGTGGATGTGAGGATAGCAAGCCCCAGAACATCTTAGGCATATTCATAATACACATCAAGGCACGGGCAACCTCTAGGAGATGTCTATTTTTGTATTCAACAATCCCATTTTGTTGAGTAACTTTGATGAATTATTTCAGGTTTTTGAAGGAAGTCACCCATGATGGTATTAAAGTATTCCATGCCATTGTCAGTATGTAAGATTTGAATTTGTGTTTGGATCATGGAATGAAAGTTGATAAACACGAGACGGACATCGGATTTATCTTTTAGTAGGTAGACCCAACTAAGTCAGATGATCATCGATAAAAGTGAAACCATTTTCTACTGGTACGATTCGGGACTCATGAGGGTCCCCATACATCGCTAGGAATCATGGTGAATGATTTTGATGGTTTGTATGAGGATTGTGGAAATGATGTGCGTTGATATTTTGTAAGTTCACAAATTTCACATAGAAAATTAACTTACTTTTTATTCTTGAAAATAGAGGGCAATACACGTTTCAAATATTGAAAGTTCAGATGACCCATTCTAAAATACCATAACATAATTTCACTATCACTAAGAGCAGATGCAAAATCACAAATTTTAAGTTCACACTGGTTACTCACATCAACCTTGTCAAAATAGTAGAGTCCTTTACTTTCTTTGGCGTTGCCAATCGTCTTCCCAGATGATGGATCCTGAAAAATACAGTGTGATGGAAAAAATTTAGCGGAGCAATGGGAAGTTTTCGTTAGCTGGCATATAGATAACAAATTGCACGATAAATCCGAAACATGAAGGACTGATTCTAAAGTTATAGAGTCAGAAATTTGAATACTTCATTTTCCTGCAACTGTCAAAAGAGAACTGTCTGCAATCTTAACTTTAAGATTACCAGCACATGGTGAATATGTAACAAACAAATTGTAAGAGTCTGTCATATAATCGGATGCCCCTGAGTCAATAATCCATGGCACTTTAGTGAGTGAGTTAAAATTTCAGGCTCTAAAGAAATTACATTTGTGAGCCAATGAACCTGTTAGATGATATGATGAAAATTAGTCCAAATAAATTTAATCCACCAAAAAGAAGAATAATACAACAACCCAAACTAACTTAGGCTCAACAAATATTGGCCCACACCCTATTAAAATAAAAGCCCAACACACACCAGAGAATTGTGGACGACTGACGAAGGAGTCGAGTTGAGCGATGCTAGATGACTGCTACACAAATATGCTCTGACCAAGACACAAAGCTAAGCAAGCCAAAAATTCGAAGAACGCACTACACAGAGGTGTCGACTCAATACCAAGAAGAAACCACGTAGAGGGGAGATCGAAACGACACAACGACGTTGCCAATGATTGGAAGAAAATGTGTTCCAACCTGCCTGGAGAGAGCTCGACCTGAGGCTTCGAGAGAAAACACCGAACAGTGCTACCAGAACCTGAAAAATGCAAACTTGAGGACGGAATCCACACAGCCACCAACAATCGAAGAGGAAGACGCCGATTACAAAAAAAGAAAAACAGAGGTCCGAGTGAAAAAAATCACAGCAAGTAAAACTTTTCCTTTGGCTCTGATACCATGAAAGATAAAACACGGAAGAGAACTTTTATCTTCTTCACAAATAATGTACAGTAAGTTGGTCTTTTTATAGTGCAAGGAGAATACATGGGAAAGGAAAAAATAAATCTCCTACAATTCTAATAAATCACAATATCTTATATATGGTAACTGGAATAAAAGACCATCTTTACTCCGTCAGTTAGGGATTTCAACAATATGTCCTCAATTCTTTTGCCGTATTCTTATGATTTACCTTCCATTATTTAACATATCTTGTCATTGATGATATTTTTGTCATAAAGTCCATTAGGAAAGCATGACAATACTTAATTGCTCTTTGTATATTAAATAAAACAAATATAAAAGTGCGGCAAAATATTTGTTCCGCATTTAAAAACACACTCACAAAATATTCAGACTGAAATGATTACAAAGACTAAATGTGCTAATAATAAAAGATTGAAGATTAGAATGCAAGAAAAAATATCAAAATGTGCTAATAATTAAATATTGAAGATTAGAATGCAACAAAAATATATAGATATAAGTGTCACGATAAATATTTAATACAATTGAAACGTGATACAATAAAATAAAAATATAGTAACAAATACAATCAGGCATCCTTTCATATATCGAAAGAGGAAAATAACCATTAAAATGACACGTGAGGTTTCTTTTGGGGACAAAAGTTGTCTAATAATGTAAATGAAAACAATAGAAGAAAAATAGGATATTATATTCACATCAGGATTTTTATTTGTTGTATTATGCTTTTTTATCTTAATCTTTCATTGATAACAGATCTAATCTTTGATAACGATTTTCATCCAAAAGGTTTGTTTGGAGGGCTTATGTGAAAGTGAGTTAAAATGTATTTCTATCATTTCAATACACAAAAACAAAAGATTTTTGACAGAAACCATCATCAAGGGTGAAATATGGTAATTAATAGAAAACAATTGTTGACCTGAACTTCAGGATTTTGCTACTTTAACATGAAAAATGTAAACAATGGATTACATAATATGATATGGATGAAAGATATTTCATGAAAAAGTTAGTTATGTTTTAAATTAGTGCATGGTGGAGTACCATGTGACATTACATAATGATGAACTACGTAAATCTTGATGTAAATGTAGTAACATACTGAACTTTATAATAAAAAAATGGTGAGGACTTAAAAGCAATTAAAATATGATGTTAATATTATATGAGAAAAGGAATAGGTCACGTCATCTTCTTCCTCAAAAGAGAGTCTCCAGCTGGCTGCCGACAACCGCCGCAGCAAATGACGTTCGAGGCCGCGCCGCCTCTGTAATCCCCCATGGCCTTCTCTCAAGATCAAGTCTGATAAGGACACAACTGATCCGGATGACCCGATTAAAGAATTTTTGAACCCCAATGTTGCTTACGCTCTTGGGCCGAGAATCAGTACATGGGACGAAGACCAAAAGGTATGGCTTCAGAAAAAAATCCTGAATTCCTAAATTATGTTAATGGCAAACCTCGGATCTTACTTGTTACTGGCTTTGAAATACCACTGGAATACGCAAAAAACTCAATAACGCCGGAATACCATTAGCACCAATTTTCATCTTCTGAGATATTCACTTTCTTCAGAACATCAATTAGGAGTCTAAAGATGGATGATATTTATTCCGTCTCCAAATTCCAATCCAATTTCTCCAATTTTGAACAGTTATTCCGACTTCATCATTTGCCCCACTGTTCAAGGATAATTACCCTCACCTTTTTGTTCGGTTTCAAAATTTGGATTGGAAATTGGTGACTGCAATGGCAGATGGTTGGGTGGTGGAAATTTGATTTCGCCATTGATGAAGAAGCCATGGTTTTTACTGCTGATAATGAGATGGTTGGGTGGGTAGGTTATTTTTGTCTTTGACAATTGACATTATAGGTGGTGTCGACGGTGGTAGTGGTGGTGCTGGTGGTGGGTGGCCACCAAACAAGGACTAAGCCTTAAAAAAACTCTCTTATCTATCTTCCCCAAAAACCCCATCGCCTGTCGAAAGCCCTTACTGGTTCACACACAGCCACCGCCATCCTCAACCTCTTCAAAACCCCACCTCCAATATTTATATGTACAGTAACACGTTTATACAGAAAGCATAGAAAAACCCAAATCCGAGTTCTTGTAGAAGAAAGATGAATTCTTGTTCCTCAAATTGATTAACCAAAACAATGGGGGGCAAAATGAGGGTTTAAGTTTGCGTTTCTCTCTCAAGACATTTTATAGGTTTGTATTATCTTTTTGAAGTATGAATTTGTTCATGTTTTGACTGAATAATTTTGCTGCAATGTTGTAAGCATCATTGTAATTCTGCTTGTCTAAAATCTGCCCAAAGAGTTTTCTGTTTTGTTTTGCTATCAATGTCTCATTTTGCATATATTTATTAAGCGTTATATCTTTATTATGTATAAACTCATCTTTCATTCTGTTCTTATGCATATTATATAAAAAAAGAAGGAAAAAAGTTATGGAATGAGACGGTGTATATCATTTAGTTTCTGTTGGCAACTTAAAATGAAAGTAAAAGGATTTGCACTAAAGAAGTTTGGCTTCACCAGTTGTGTGTACGTAATTGTAAAATATATATTGTTATACTAAAGTAGATAGGTTTTGACAGAAACTTGCACTTAAAGTTAAGTCAGTTAAGTTGAATTATTCTTATATTTGTATTAACAGCCCCACAGTCATTCTTATGGAAATAATGAAGTTTGAAAACTTGTGTGTTAGTATTAAATGCTTATTGCCAGCCAATTTTTAGGAAAGGGTTGAATGTTTAACTTTTGAACATTGTGAGATAAATATATTCTCTTGCATGCCTTGTTAAAAAAACGCTTGAATTTGAGACTATCTTTGAATTTTTTCAATTCAGATACAATTTATGTTGCAAGTAAGGTAAATTTTGCCCTTTGTCATTTTTGATGTGGTTTATTTGGTTCAAAATTTTGGGTTTGGACAATAGACTTGTGCTTTTAGTTTCAGCTACCATGCATTTCCACCTATCAGTCTCTGGTATTATCCTACAATAAAATACTAACTGATTATATTGGGTTATTAATATTTATTATTTTGTATACTCAGATTGCTGCCAACTTGCAAAAGCAACCTTTTTCCAAAGTCTCTGCTGACCTTTTCAACTCATTTCCGCTTAAATTCCACTGGTGCGAGCTGCATAGTGGCTTTATCAGATGGCATTGAGCAAAGAAACGGCAAGTTTGACTTTGAGCGTTTATTCAATAAATGCACTAAAACTGGTATTGCCAAATGCTTGCACGCCCTTCTCATCGTGTCAGGGATGGTCCAGAGTATTTTCAATGCCACCAAGCTTGTTAATATCTATGCCTATCTTGGTGATGTTTTGTTGTCTCGAGAAACTTTTGATCAAATACCGAGAAAAGATACCTATACTTGGAATTCGATGTTATCATCTTATGTCCGGAACGGCTATTACCGTGAAGCGGTGAATTGTGTGAATGAAATGTTATTGGCCTCTAATGTTCAGCCTGACTTTTATACTTTCCCTCCTGTGCTGAAAGCTTGTCGTACAATACATGATGGAACGAGACTTCATTGCTGGGTTGTCAAAATGGGTTTTCAATGGGATGTGTTTGTGGCTGCTTCTTTGGTGCATATGTACTGCCGTTTTGGCTCTTTTGATATTGCACTTAAACTTTTTAAGGACATGCCAACTCGTGATATGGGTTGTTGGAATGCTGTGATTTCTGGGTTTTGTCAAAATGGGAATGCTAATGAGGCTTTGAGTGTCGTGGATGACATGAGATTGGAGGGTGTAGATATGGATGCGGTGACTATTTCCAGTATTCTTCCAATTTGTGCACAAAAGGATGATATATTACATGGGATGTTGATCCATTTGTATGTCATAAAACATGGATTAGAGTTCGATGTGTTTGTTTCCAATGCGTTTATTAATATGTATGCCAAATTCGGTAAATTGGAGTGTGCTCGGAGGATCTTTGATCAGATGGTTGTTAGAGATTTGGTGTCGTGGAATTCAATAATTGCTGTATATGAGCAAAATGATTGCCCGCATGATGCGTTGATGTTCTTTTACGAGATGCTGGGAAATAAGTTTCAGCCTGATGTACTGACACTGGTCAGTTTGGCTTCCACTATAGCTCAAACCAGGGACTCATTGTCTGGCAAATCCATTCATGGATTCAGTATTAGAAGATGTTGGATAATGGAAGACACTATAATTGGTAATGCTGTTGTTGATATGTATGCTAAAATAGGTGCTCTTGATCCTGCGCGCAAGGTTTTTGAAGAACTTTCTTGCAAAGATGTGATCTCATGGAATACAATGATAACAGGTTATGCTCAAAATGGTCTCGCAGATGCAGCCATTGAAGTGTACCGCATGATGAAAGATTGTGAGGACTTCACTCCTAACCAAGGGACATGGGTTAGCATTCTACCCGCTTATGCTCATATTGGGGCCTTGATTGACGGGATGAGAATTCATGGGCAGGTGTTAAAGGTGGGTATTGACACGGATGTCTTCCTGGGTACTTGCCTCGTTGATCTATATGGAAAATGTGGAAGACTGGGTGATGCAATGTTTATGTTCTATGAGGTGCCAAGGGTAAGCCCTGTTCCTTGGAATGTCATAATATCATGTCATGGACTCCATGGACATGGTGAGAATTGTATGCAGCTTTTTAGAGAGATGTTGGATGAAGGGGTGATGCCTGATCATGTGACCTTTTTGTCATTATTGAGTGCTTGTAGCCATTCGGGTTTGGTTGATCAGGGCAAGTGGTGTTTTGATGTGATGCAGCACAACTATGGGATGAAACCTACTTTGAAGCACTATGGGTGCATGGTGGACCTGTTTGGTAGGGCTGGTCAATTGGATGTGGCGTATAATTTCATTGAGCGTATGCCTATGAGACCTGATGCTTCTGTATGGGGAGCTCTTCTTGGTGCTTGTAGAACCCATGGAAATGTTGAGCTGGGTAAAAAGGTCTCTGATCGCTTGTTTGAAGTTGATTCAGAAAATGTTGGATACTATGTTTTGATGTCAAATCTTTATGCAAAATTTGGTAGATGGGAGAGGGTGGATGAAGTGAGATCACTAGCTAGGGACAGAGGACTGAGGAAGACGCCTGGTTGGAGCTCGATCGACCTACACAGTAGAATAGAAGTGTTTTATACGGGCAATCGAACTCATTCGCAGCATGAAGAGATATACAAGGAGTTGGCAATTTTAAATGCCAAAATGAAGAGCTTTGGTTATACTCCAGATTATAACTTTGTATTACAGGATGTTGAGGATGACGAAAAAGAGAATATCCTCACAAGTCACAGTGAGAGGTTGGCTATTATGTACGGAATTCTGAATACTCCTCCTAGAACTCCCATTCGAATATATAAGAATTTGCGAGTATGCGGTGATTGCCACAATGTGACAAAATTCATTTCGAAGATTATGGAGAGAGAGATCATTGTCCGAGATTCTAACCGCTTTCATCATTTCAAAGATGGAATTTGCTCCTGTGGGGATTATTGGTGACTCATAGTCTGCCATTTCTTGATTGAGAAAAAGTGATGATGTCATTTCCTTCAGGTGCTGAGGTAATGAAATCAATTCTGAATTGTAGTTTTGTTTTCCTTCTGAGTCATACCTCTCTTCATGCTTTTTGGTTATGTCTAAATGTGTGTTCTTAATACGACGCGTTTCTTTAAAATACTTTAGTTTTAATGACTTCATATATTCCCAGGAAATTCCTATTTCTAGTTATTAAATAATATTCAATTCTTATATTTCTTGATCTCATTGTTCTTGAACTTTTATGGTGATTATCTTAACCTTTTTCTTTTACATGTATGACAATTTGGCCCCAAGTTCTACATAACTAACCAAGTTGATCCAATTATTCTAAATGTGGATAATACATGAGAATTCAATCTGCAAGACTTTTTATGCAAACAATGCACATTTCATTATGTCGTTAACATATTATTCTCTCAGAGATTGAATATTCTGGCCCTTCAAAAGGTTTTGCTTTTTCTTTTTTTTCGTAAATTTATTTTCTCCTCCAAACTTAATATTCTTTTCAACTTTTGAATACATTCATTACTATTTTCTTTAAAAAAAAATTTATCGTTTTTTAAATTGGGGTAATAATCTTCCTGCTCTTTTGGCTTCTTCGACTCGTCTTCCAGCTCTCTTCATGGGGCAATCAGAAAAGGAGTCTTTTTTTCTTGTAGTGCCTTCCATTCCACTATTCTGATTGAGAAAAATTCTTTTCCAAACGACCATAATGAGATTAAAAACCATATTGTCGAATATTACACTGATTTAGGAGTCAGTTTATCAAAAAGCCTATAAATTCTTGGCTGTTTGTGGGTAATTTGTTCTTGTTTTGCTTTGCATTTAAGACTTTGACTTGTTTGTCCTTCTGAGTTCTGATCTGCAATATTTAGAAGGATTTATATACCAAGCTTTATCTTCTGCAATATTTAGTTTTCATTGCGGTTAGAATATCATCTCTTATTTTAATTTCGTTTATATTTCTAAACTAAATTTGCTGCTTATGTTTGGGTGAAGTGTTTAGTGGCTTTTGTAAAACTAAAAAGTCTCATGTATCATAATATACTTCAAATGATTAGAGCTGTCATGATCTGGATGTTTGTATCCAATTATCTATATGTTCTATTACTATTGTTACTTGACTTTTTCGTCTCATTTTCATTGGAACTAGATTAGATTTTCGGTTTCGCTTAGACTGAATATGCAGGCTGAAAAATGTTTCAGGACAGATGTAATAAGCACCATTCTTATGGTGCTCAGTTGGCAAAGTCGAGTAATTGCACGGAGCCTGAAATTGGTATTCAATGGGATTAGACAGTTGGGACTTTGTCCATTTGAGACGAAAACGAAGATAAAGAGGAGTTGTGGCTCGAACTCAACACCATCAATCAATCCTGCTTCATTACTAAACCAAAGTTGTTCTTCACCAAGCCACAGTAAACTCTCACTCCCTCTCTCTCGCTTCAATGTTTCTTCCTCGAATTATCATTTTCTTTGTTCCTTTACTGATGCTCTTTCTTTTCAGGTTTGTCTTGTACAATCATGAAGTACATGACGAAGGTTTGGCTACATGGACCTCTTTTTCACTGAGGTAAAGAAGTTGACTCCTCCTAATGAATTATCTCGTGTAGTGAATGTTGGACGAATTTTGTGAATAGTGACGCCAAAATAAGTATAATGATGGTGACAAAGCCGAGGCAAGAGTTGAACTCTTTGTCCTTAAGTCGAATTTGCCCGGCAACGGTGCCTACGGATTTCGGCAATCGACTCCCAAGATACAACGGCTACACTTTTATTTGTAGCACTCCAAAACACAAGTACAACGAACTAAATTTAGGCTTATGTATTCTAAGGATGAAATGAAGGAAAATCAAAATAAATGAAATGATTTTGATTTTGGATAGAAGAGAGGATGAGAGACGTTTTGCATATCAAAATTGTGTGGAATAGGACACCCAAAGGGTTCTATTTATAGACCATGAAAGGGTGTGGACGAAATGGTTGAGGTCAAATCATGCACCCTTTCCAAACAATGCACCTTTATGAAAAGGTGTCTATTCACTAATGGTTGAGGTCAAACCATGTACCCTTTCCAAATAATGCACCTTTATGAAAAGGTGTCTATTCACTGATTTTCGTCCTTTTTCGTAATTTCTCATTCATCCGATATTGGTTTTCGAAATGCTAAATATACCCTTCAATACATGCAGAGAAATCAAAATTCTCTTTCGGGGGCGTTGCCCCCGAGCCCCCCGCGACCTGACCGGACAGGTCGATCCCCGTTTGTGCTCCCCGAAGCGGCGAAGTGGCAAACAATTTTTGCCTAAACGGATTGAGTCGAGCTTTTGAGTATTTGGCCGAAGTCGATACGAAGTCACTTTAATCGATTTTTTCAATTCTTGATTTATTTAACCAATATCCAACAGTGAAGCGTATAATTATTATACATTTCGAAATTGAGAACTTAAATAGTTCGATTTGAAGTATATATTTCAAAATGTACAATTAAATTATTTTGCAGTAAGTTCAAACAATGTCTGCTCCGTTTGACTTGAAACGGAGATAAAAATTAATGCAACTAGGATGAAAATCATTGGTGAACGGAAAAATATATTTGGAATAACGTAGAATTTTTCATTTCTACAATGTAAAAGGCTAAAGAAAAATTTAATATTGAGGGCAACACAGAATTTAAGTTAGGATGACGGATTTCACATTGCATGCTAGAATATAGAACCAAGTATAGTCTAATAATCATAACTCAAATATTTCGGTTTTGTAATGAATCATATTTTCTAGACGACAGTATTGTGGCTGAAACTTACGTTTAATCAATAAAATGAAACATTATAACATATGCAATAGGAAGACAATTTTGATAGAATTTGCATTTATATATTATTTTTCGAATTTTTCTTCCTTAGCTTACCTAATTGAACATTGAGAATAAGAGTGCTCGATTGTATCACTAAACACTGATATTGTGTTTGATTAGTTTTATTTTTCATAAAAAATATTTTTTAACTTTTGATCATGTGTTTATATTTTTCTAAAAAACAACGAAAATATTTTCTTTAAAGAGTGGTGATTTTTATTTTTTCAGATAATTCACTCTAATCTATCTTCTTTCTCATTTATCCATCAATAAAAATGGATGGGAATAATACATAACTCTTACATATAAGAATTACATTTTAAAATTAACAAACTTGTCCAACTATTTCAAAATTTTTCAAAATTTATATGTTAATTTCAATTAATATATGAGTACGTTTGAATGCCAATATTTTTCATTAAATTTTATTTTTTACTTAAATTCTTACTTTTGTGTGTTGGTTATTTTTCTACTTTTAGTCACGGAAAATATTTTTCTACTTTTAGTCACGTGATCATATTTTCTTTGAAATTAAAGAATATTTTCTTTAGGTGGAATAAGATTTTATTTTCCAGTGAATTCACTCACTTTCTCTCTCTTATCTATCCACTCTTTTTCATCTATTCACCAATAAAAATCGAACAAACATAATATTTTATAAGTTGAAAATTAAATCACTCAAACATATTTAATTGATAATTTTCATGCAAATAAGTTCTAGACAATTGAATTGCCTGAAATTTATTTTCTTTCTATGTAAATTGCTTGCAATAAAAAACACTCTTATATATAATTAATTGGAATTAATTATCCCCACCCACTTCCACCAAATTAATAACATCCCACCCCACGCACACGGATCCCACCCTACACGCCACCCCCATAATTTTTTTTTTCAAAAATTGAAAACTTTTCTCGAGATTATACCCCACGACACACTGAACCAACTTGTAAAAAATTTTCAAAAATTAAAAATCATTTATGAAGATTGCACACCACCCCAAAACCACTTACACCCACGCCACCCCCAAGAACCTCACCCGCCTCACGTGTAGAAATTTTTTAAAAATTGAGTACTTTTCTCAAGTTTACACCCCACTCTGGAGCCATACCCCACCTACACACACACCTCCGCCACTTCATCCCTAACTTGTAAAAAATTTTCAAAAATCAAAATATTTTATAAAGATTACACCTACTTTTTATAGAGATTTCACGCTACCCTCATGGAATTATCCCAGATTTGCGATTATGATATCTGTGATCATTTTTTTTTTTTTTGTGACAAGACTTGTGTTATATGTAATCAATTGTGACCAAATTTGTCTTCCGTATGACTGAACGTGATTGTTTAATTTGCGACCGTATGTAACCAAGTTACTAACTTGGTGTTATTTGTAATTCGTTGTAATCAGGTTTGTGTTCAGTGTGACTGTATAATTTGTGATATCCAACTAAGAGCATGTTTGGTTGGGATTTTAATCCAATTAACATCAATTTTTTGGCCATTATTTCACTATTCCAGCCGTCATTTTTGAATTTTTCTCTTACGAGTAGGACCCACTTTATCTGTAATGATCAAAAAATCAATTAACAAAATTCCTATCAAACAAGCACTAAGTCACTAGCATGTGTTATCTTTGATTATTTGTGACCATAATTATTTTCAGTGTGACTAACTGTGACAAGTTCAACGTGACTGTTTGTGATCATGTCAATTTTAACTGTGATGGTATGTGATAATTTCACAATCGATCACAATTAACAAAAATTGGTCACAATAAACACATACTTTGTCATAGAGTGTCACCATAAACATATATAAACACACCGCAGACTAGCACCATAATCTACCACCAATCACCACTGCCATAACCTCTAATGCACCGCCACTACTCCCTTCAACTCAAATTGATGATTATAAATACTACATTCACCTCAAATATTACCAAACATCACCAACAATTAATACCACAGTATAGAATTCTTTCTTTAAAGGCACAACTAAGAATATCTGTGAGTGTGATCGATTAGTAATTTAACATCATCTCTTCTCAATTCTTATTTTCCTTTCAACTGATAAACTAATTTTCTATCTAATAATAATCCACAAACAAATATAGTTCTGATTCTAATTTTACTTTAAACTAATTTCAATTACATCTTATAAAAAATAAAAATATTATTATCTAATTCCATACCACAACAAATAATTACAAAACAAACCGGAGAGAGAGAGAGAGAGAACTTCTAATTTTGGACAATGAGTCCAAAACAATAGTAAATTCATTCAACTATTTTAAATTTCAAAGGTCAATCAAGCACAATTGCACGGCAACATATAACACATGGTTACTTGAAATCTGCTTTGTGTAGGAAGTTGCTAGTAGAAGAGCTCATTTTCATTACAAACATTTCTTCCACATTCAAAGAACAAAAATATATATTTTGGGGTCATGGAAGACAATACAAAGGATATATGTTCTTCCAACCCACTTTCAACACAAACCCTACACACGCTACCAAAAAGTCTCCCCCATTTCCTATAATATTTCAGAAACATATAAAACGTTCACCAGCAATCTCAAAATCGAAGTTTTGTGTTCCAAAACAAAAAAAAAGAAGAAGAAGAAGAAGAAGAAGGGGGCTTGCCGAGTAACCACAACTACCTCCTCTACCAATAACCACTGTTAGCTCATCATCTCGCACCACCACCATCGCAGACATGGCGGACCCATGGGGGGTCACATGACCCCCCAACTCTTTGAGATTTTTTTTTTTTAAAATTTTTTGGTGGATAAGTCTTGTTTGATATCTATTAAAATCTAAATTTTAATCTAAATTAAATTTAACAATTAATTTTAATAACATATTTAATAAAATCCTTAACTTTTATCAAAATATACTAAAATCTGATTTTAACCTCCATTAAACAGAGGCAAATTCACAATAAATTTGAATTTTTTCTTCTTTACCCTTACTCTTTTTATTAAAACCTTAACCCTTCTAATTTTTTAAAATTTGTCTATAATTTTTCTACAAATTATCACATCTACCACAAAAATTTAACATATTCAAGTATCAAAATAATTCAAAAATCAAGAACAAAGTATTCGATTTGTCCATAATTTGATTGTGTCCCGACTAAAAATTTCTGGGTCCGCTCGCAAACACAACAATGCACCAGATACAGATTCGTGCACACCACCATACACACGTACACACCATCACACAAAGATCCGCACAACCTATTTAGCCTTCAATCGTCACCAAAGCCTTCGAATCCGTCCATCACCATCAGTAAAAAATCTCCCCAACACCCACTCACCTTTGATTGGAGGCTCAGCACCTCATGTATGCCTGCGTCCTAAAATCAGCAGCAACTATCGCATCAAACAAACCCAAAATCGATGGGAAAATGCATTCAATTTGTGTACTAATTAATGCACGATTCATGAGGAAAACACTAAAAAGAAGACAGCATAATGAAATGGGAAATTAAAATGGAATCTGGGCTTGTGGGGTGGTATGGGGTGATTTTTGGGGAAAACATGAAAAAAGGAGAGCTTAATGGAGGAGAAATTTGACTACTGAAACCTGCGCTGGACTAGGTGGGTTGGGTGGGGGGTTTGGAGGAAAGGTAGGGAAATTGATATAACGAAATTAATAAAGGTTGAATCCCAACCTTGAAAACTCCTACTATCCCGTCTTTGGAGCTTTATGAGGGAATATATGAAATTTATGTTTCTAGGGTGGGGGTAGGTAATGAATAAATCTGATTTTTGAAAAGAAATTGTTAATACCTGATTTATGAAATAGAAATTTCAAAAGAAGGGTTTGAGGTAATTTTCTCTAATAATTAAGGTGAAAGTTGCACATGGATAGGGCGTTAAATGGGCCGAGTCATGTCGCTCAACTTGTACACTGTTAGGCTCGGCTTGTTAGGCGAATCGACTCCTGCTGGCGATGTGTCAATTTCTATTTTTTAGAAAAAGTTGTATGTCATTCATCAATTTCCTGTTCATGAGCTCACAAGTGGCTTGCACGATTTTCGCTTCTCGAATCTTGCCTGCTATTTACTTTGAGCATAAGCCGAGCCAACAGACTCATGGCTCGTTGTATCCAATACCATTAGTTTAGATAAAATAATGAGGTGCTTAGAATATATACTTCATCCCTCTCATAATGATATTCTTCCCTCCACTAGCACGGATTACGAAAAATGTTATTAATATAGCTGAACATATAAATTTTACTTATATATTTTTTAAATATACTCCTACATTAAATAATTATTTAAATATGAATAGTTCTTTTTGATAAACAAAACACATAAATAAGGATATATTAGAAAATTAAGAAATTAATTATACTCTCAAATAACATATAATTTAGGATATACGAAAAAAAGAAAACAAGCTTAGGACAAATAGGGTATCAATACATTGTTTGGTGTTACATCATATACGTTTCAAATGGTGAGAGTATCATGACTATACAAAATCGTGTCCCTAAACGAAGTAAACAAAGGGGACAGTGAACACAACAGGATTAAAGCCAAATATTCTTCGTTATTCTTTACCTCAAATGTCTCCAAATCAGTGACGTTCTCCTTGAACATAGCCAATTGTTGTTCTAAAGATCTGCATTCTGTCATGTTATGAGAATACAACCTCTGCTTCAGGTACAATTTGCTTGTCAGACTTTTAATCATGTGCAATTGCTCCATTTCAACCACAACACAACTGATGTCTTCTCCTTCAATTTTGAAGAATATTGTTAGAGAGATGAAGATGAATCTGTGGAAGTGCCTTCCGATCCTTCGATTATTTCTCCTATATTTTCCAAGTTGTGGGAATTTTGTCAAATCCTAATAAACGCATCATCTAAATCTATCGCGCTAATACAGTTCGCATCTTCACTTGCCACAATGAAAATATTTTATTGCGATTCAAAAGCAAAATTTCATATTTCATAGTTGTCATTGATAACAAAAAAAAAAAAGAACCCTCAAACAAAATCACAACCAATAGCTCTGATACCACTTGTTGGGAACCGAGAGACAAGTATGGCATGATATGAAGTATTGATCTCACAAGTAAGAACAAGATTAAAGTAAGAAGAGTAACTAATAGAGGAACCAAGTAATTTTATTAATTGACAACCCAATGGAGAGAGATACAATTTCATTAATGTATAAACTGAAAGCAGAGTCAAATATATATAAGGACAATCCAAATCATAGAAACAGAGTTGTAGATGAAATAATATGCTCAAAAGTTTCCTTATATCGATATCTTTAAGTCCAATACAATTCCAACTCCCAATAAAGCTTCCAAATAGAATTTCAATTAGAATTTGTCAATAGGCTTCAAATAGAATTCGAAAAGCATTCAAATAAAATTCTTCTTGATGCGCACTTTAATTAGAATTCTCAATTATTTTTATCAAAGAATTCAGGTCCACCCAAAATTCTAACAAATAATTTCTATATATTTTCTTTCTATACAAATTTCATGCTTGAAATCAGGTGCGTTTGATTGGAAAATTTTCATGAAAAATGACATTTTTCACCCAAATTCCAACTTTTGGAAAGTTTGATTGTCATTTTTTCCATAAAAAATAAAATAGTAATAAAATAAAATTCCAACCTTTGAAAATGTCTAATTTTTCTTATTTTTGAGGAAAATATTTTCTTTGGAGGAGGTGGATTTTTTATATTTTCCTTTTTAGGAAATATTTTCCATACCAATCAAACATACCATTAATATTATGTAAATATCATCTAGATTGATGCATAACATATGAAATAACATTACTCTTTATTAAATGATTGTCGTATTCATAAACAACTTCTCATTTGATTTTCTACTTAAAAAATGAAACCATAGTCGCCGCAAAAAGTAATAAACTAACTAAACCAGAATTCTCTATAGTGCAAATAGTCTGTTAATTTATTGTATCAATATTTACAAACATGAAGGCCTTCAATTGCACGAATAGAATGCAAGAACATGGGAAAAAAAATGATATTTATTGTGAAATGTAAAACTAAATCTGTTTAAAGTATCTTCAAGAAATTTTTAATTTTTAAAAGAACATCTATAAATTTAAAGAGTATAAATTATTAAATATTTCAACTACTACTTCCGATATGTATTTATTATTTTTATCTATCCTTTACTTTCATCAACTTCCCCTCCAAATTATTATATTATTTTTCATTTTTTTTTATGTATATACTATTTAGTTGGTCAAGACATGGAGCATTGGAATTTAAAATATTTTGAATGTATTTAATTATAGAAAGTTGATTTGACACTCTAAATTTGAATAACCAAACCCACTCTCTATTTTAAAATGTTAATTTGAGTAATCTCTTGTAACATAATTTTAAAAGTTAACTATTTAAATTTGAAAATATTTCACATTCATATACTCTTTTAGAGATGCTCTAATAATGTACTAACAAAGAGTAGTTCATTCATTCACCAAAGTAGAACACTTTACCGTTAATTGATCTCCATTCTTTAAAAAATTAATTTTTCACAAACCCATTTTTAAATTTCAATAACAATTCTTTCAATAAAATAACTTTACATGTAAATCCAATTTTTTTCCCTACTTTTCAGTCACACGTTCTTCAAAAAATCCAATTACAAAATCTATTTTCTTAAAAAATGTGGTTCAAATGAACACACACTGTATTCAAAATAATAATATAGTGAACAACGAAATTCAATTAATAAAGTCTAGTCACTTGACACGGAATGTCACAATGCCCAATCTGAAAGAGTAATATCGAAATCAATTACTTCCATTTATCAAATTGCATCCTTCACCAATGTGAAAAAGGACTAGACTCGTTCAAACAAGCTTCTAACAAGAATTTTGAACAATCTTCTTTAAAAGCATGTCGCAAACTCAACCTGCACGAATGCAGTATAAGATCATCCTGGACGATGACAATCAAATCTGACTAACCAAACATGACATCATGAAAATGTGCCACGAGATTTTTGCCTCTACAAAATCAAAACATTTATTTTGTCACATTAGTAAAGCCACGAAAGACATTATATGTTCACCAAAATGAATTGAAGAGAAGGTATAATTAAGTAATCAGATCTTCACATGCAACGAGATTAGAACTTCAGCTTTCACACTCCGCTCAGGGTCTGTACAACAATTTCTAACTCAGAAATGTGCCACAATTCACAAAACTCGAGCAGCAGAACCAACTACATGAGCCGGGATTCACGTCGCGAGACATAAGACATCCACATGCTCTTCTTGGACGATTCCTTTTCTTTTAGGCATCCGGGATCTTGCTAGGAGCAAGCTTCAAGCTTGGGAAGAAGGCTTCGCCATGCTTCAGCTATACTTTTTGCTTGGTGTGCTTGGCCCTTGGCAAGTTCATGAAATGCAACACCCATATCAACAGTTTTTTGCTCTTGAAATCGAGCAATCTCTTCGTTCATTAACTTCACAATTGTCTCAAATTTTCGTTTTGACTCCTCAACATCAGCTTTTAGCTGTATCATTACAACCAATATCAGCTGGACGATTCCAGTAAGTTGCAGAACATGCCAATGCAAACTGACTCACCTGCTCATATTCGCGCTCGGCTTCAGCCAACTTCTCTGATCGCATTAATCTGAGCTTGTTCCTGCCAACTACTATGTCAGATCAAATAGAACTAGATATAAACTGCCAACTGATATTCAACTAATTAGATCTTCAATACCAAAAGCATGGAAGAAGTCAATTAATTTGTTCATTTTTATAAGGTTGTGTTTGAGCCCCATTTTTAGTAAAAATAGGTTTTGTATTAGTGATTTCTTGGAGAATATATGGTTAAAAATTAGGAAAAATGTTGGATTTACGTGCGAAAATAATGTATTGAAAGAATGTGCGGTTGAAAATGAGTTTGGGAAAAAATGAATTTAGAATGGAACTCAAACATGGGCTAAGAGAAATGGCGTCACATCATAATCCTGTACAATCTACACTAAATTAGGAAGCATTAATATCATGAACAAATATCAATTCCTTATGTGATAAGTGATGACATAACTAACTGCAATTTGTTTTACAGGAGGAAAAATATCTGTAGTGCCTTGTGACTTTTAATCGTTGGAACCATTTTTGACGTATGAAATAAAATGTGTCTTCCCGAATTCACACGATCGAGTTTCCCAAAATGATAAGATATGGCGCTACTTGTACATGTTATCCAGAGCTAAACAAATGGAGCTGAATTCGGACAAAATCAAAGCAAAAGCAAACTTAAAGAGGTTCATGTCCAAGCATGATTGAGGCCATAAGCAAAAGGTAAGGTAAGAACCATACAGATCAATTTCCTTAAACTTGATTGTTTCCGCCAGTTCACAGTGGAGCCTGAAAGCATTTGCTCTCTCTGCTATTGTTGCCTATCTCAGAAATAAGAGAGGAGCCATCAGATTCATAACGTCAAAAAGAGTGAAGGATAATACTTGCACATGTTAGAGGTGCTACTAATAACCCATCATCATTATCTTCCCGCCAAGACAATCATCCATGATTTTCTTATTTCCATTGAATGCTCATTACTGATTGTGGCCCAATTTGACCCACATTCTTTTAAAAAAAATAAAAATAAAAATAAATAAAGGTTTTAAAACAGTGATTTGACATCACTTCAATCACACATTCTTCAATAAAATAATATTACGCGCAAATCCAAACTTTTCCTTATTTTTTAACTACGAATTTCCCATCAATACACTATTAAAAAATGCAATCTTATGAAAATAATGTGGCTCAAACAAGGGCTATAAATCAATATTTTATTACTTCACACAGTAAACTTAAACTTGATTGTTTCAGCCAATTCACAGTGGTGCCTGAAAGCATTTGCTCTCTCTGCTATTGTTGCCTATCTCAGAAATAAGAGAGGAGCCATCAGATTCATAACGTCAAAAAGAGTGATGGATGATACTTGCACATATTAGAGGTGCTATTAATAACCCATCACCATTATCATTCCGCCAAGACAATCATCCATGATTTTCTTATTTCCATTGAATGCCCATTACTGATTATGGCCTTGTTTGACCCACATTCTTTTTTTAAAAAAAAAAAAAAAAAAAAAGGGTTTCTTAAACGATGATTTGGCATCATTTCAACCACACATTCTTCAATAAAATAATATTACGCGCAAAGCCAAACTTTTCCTTATTTTTTAACACACATTTCCCATCAATACACAATTAAAAAATGCAATCTTATGAAAATAATGTGGCTCAAATAAGGGCTATAAATCAATATTTTATTACTTCACAGAGTAAATTCCATCTATTGAATTCTGCAAATGATTCAACCAATAGACAACACATTTTTTCTAATTAAATAAATGAGGCATAAAACTCACCTTTATAGACTGCACAGCTCGAACATAATCTTTCAAAGGTTCTTCAAAATTCATCAAGAGGTGGTGAGCCTAATAGCATTACAGAATATGCATTTTATCGCACAACTCATCGACTTAGGAAATCTTTAAAATGCTAAACAACAGTGGATGATTAAGAGCTAGCTAAATTTAATTGCATAATTACAAAGCATAGCTTGCCTCTCTCTGCAGCTTGATGGACAACATCTCAGATTTTGCCCCAAGCTCAGAAAATGCCTTTCCAAGAGAATTTCCTTCACAGTTGCCAAGGAGCTTGACTGCCTTACCAAAGTCTGATAAAGATTGACCTAACTCTGCATTACATGTAGAAAGCCTGGTATCAGATACTAAGTTGTTAAAACATGTAGATGGAAGAAGGGTGAAACCAAACAAAAATAACGACGGCGAACAAAAAATGTGATATGATCCATTAATGCTGCCAATATCTTGGAATGTAGTGAGGAAAAGTGAGAAAACAGTAAAGGAAATTAATAATTAAAATATAAAGCATATTGGATAATAAGTAGTCAAAGTCAAAAATACCCCTGTGTCTCTTTACAAGGCGGTATGCATGCTTCTGAGCTTCAGCCAAGTGATCTTCAAGCTGAAAAATATAGTTCTTTTGTTTCTCATACTCAGGATTTGATTCTTCAACTGGTTTTTCCTTTCCAAGTACAACATCACTCACTTTAGATTGTACATCCTGTCAAATTAAAAAGACAAAAGATAGATAATCAAAGAGAATCCATTTTTAAAGGGTTATAGTCCAATAGGCATTGCTGAACTGGCTGGAGAAAATGATCAGAAAAAGATAGCAATCGACAAGGATTCTTGGTACTGTAGTCAACAATAAGGATCTCTAGATAGTAGGATATAGTTCACATTTGCTAGATGAGAAAAGGATTTTTCTTCATTACAAAACGTAGATAGTATTCTTTTGCCCAAACACAAACACAGACAATAAAAAAAACATAGAGAAAGAGAGAGAGAGATGTTGACTAGCACCGGTTAAAAATCACATTTTTTGATTGTATTAATGGGCAAAATCATGCAAAGAGTTGCTAAAGCCCCTCTTTGGTCAGAGCAAGAACAAACTGAAGTTCTTATCTGTTGGCAGAGAGTGATCACTAAACCTCAAACTAGCATCTCTTTCCCAGGTTTAGCCAACTATATCATTTATATTTCTGATTGTACAGCTTTCTCAGCCCAGTGACAGTTTACCTTGAAAATTTGCATAAAGTCTGCTGGCTTCTTGAAAATACCAGTCTCCTGAGACCTTGCTCTTTCCATCATCTACCGATTAGGCAAAAAAATTAAAATAAAATAAAAAATAAAAGTGAATCAGATGAAGTACAAAATAGTAAAACACGACAAACAAATCTAGAAAAAGAGAAGGAAAACATATTTTGAGTTGTCAACCTAGTCATGCCTCAATGTAAACAGGATCACATCAGCAAAAGCTGAGAAGTAATTTCAAATCTTTCTATAGTATGATAAAAAAGTGTAACATGTTTCCCTCTCATTCACTGTTAGAGACAAATATGATTATAGATGATAGCTATATATAAATCCTCATGATAGTTTCACTTTCCACTTTGCATACAGAAGCTTATTTGTCCAGAAATAGCATTGTGTTCAACAATTTTTGAACCAATAATGTCCACAGCTTAGCTTTGATGAAACCCTAATTCCATCAAACGCATAATTTCCCACTCCTGGCACATTGATATTCCACAATCACTGAGACACATATGGCCTTCACCTTTCCAGATCATAATTTGCTCCACCATATGTTATATGTAATATGATCAAACAATTTATTCCTGTTAAAATGTGTACAGCAGATAAATCAAGCCACTGAAAAGGGATATCCTACCTGTTCATCTTCCAACAAAAACTTTCTCAAATCCTCACTTTGCTGAAGCTCGTGATGTGAGGCTATCCGATTGATAAATACATCCAGCGCTTGACGCCTCATCTCAATGAATTCAGCACTAAATCTGAACTTCTCTGTCATATTACAAGACACCAATTTTAAACAACTCTTAAGTTTCAAAAGCTTCCAAATTATGCAATGTCTTCTATTCAAATCAGCTTCACACCGCGTGCACTCACACAAAGAATTTAACAAATGCATCCACAAAATGGAAGTTAATAGTGAATGTCTGTCCATGTACAGGAAGCTATTGGCTATATTTTAATTCTGTATAGTGTGGGCTATCACAAATGAGTTTGTTTAAATTTCATAGATTACATGAAGGTATCATCTTTCCTGTAGTACATAAACAGATGCTACAGGTAACCATAGGTCACAAAATAAACAAATAAATAAAGAAAAAGGTTATCGTCATGAATCTGTTTGACCGGATGGCAAGACATACAAAATAAAAGACGTTGATGAACCTCAAATATATCAAACAAAAATTGTATTGTCCATATCACTGGATCCTTCTATTATTAAGGAAGAAGGTAATGATTAAATAACTAAAATAAACATTTATTCAATCGCTGAGGTGAGAGGAAGGAGAATTTTCCTTATTACCTACTGTGCTTTTCTCTGGAAGGGGAGGGATGAAGATACCCTTGTACTTTTCAAAAAGGCGATCACGTAACCAAACAAAATCACTATATCGTCGGATAACAATTTTCTCAGGCCCCTGATATTCTGGAAAGTTTGTCTGCAAAACAAGTTTCTAAAATTAGTAAATATAGGTGCAAAGACAAAAACTTGAAATTAGATTAAACAATACATGCCATTGTATTGAAAATAATGGGAGGTACATTCAAAAGTCAGTACATCTAAATGATGAAAAGATATAAAACGCCACCTAAATGTGTTATATTTTGGTCTGTAGTTATAACAGATAAATCTTTCCAGAAACTAAGCCCTCGTTTGCCCCCATTATTTGGTATTATAATTTTTGGAGAATCTGTGATTGAAAAAGAAGGAAAAGTTTTTGATTTACGTGTAATATCATTTTATGAAAGACTATGTGGTTGATAATAAAAGAAAGAAAAATTATAATGTGAAATAATAAGGGCCAGATGGGGGCTAAGTGTGGGCAATTTTCAGAAAAATAACATTCATAAATGATATAATACCCCAAAAATTGTGTGTAAACGTTGAAGAGAAACCGTGGAAATCGATGACTCGCATTAACAAGATTTCAAGATATCTTTGTTGGCTACAAGTTTCAAGACAACCACTTTCCACATAAATCTGGCTCCTTGCAAGTCCAGACATCTTAAGACAAAACAATGAGTTACTTGTGTAATTGCTCCTTTATTGACCTTTTACTTTATACATTTTTTATAAGTAGATTACTTGAGTTCAAGTTCAAAGAACTAGGATGCCTTGACGTCTAAGACACAATAGTATAAGGTGGCTAATTTTTTTCCTTGGACGAATTAACTACTTCCCTGTACAAAATCATCACCAAAAGACCTTATAAATCATTTTCCATTTTTTTTTTTAATTAAACTTGTGAAGAACTATAATTGAATTTTACAAGTACTACAGCATCAGCCTCATCACTCAAGGGATGCTAAGTTTGAAACATCAAGTCACCCTTCGGCCTTCATTATATATTGACAAGTTCTTTCCATTTCATGATGATTTGATGGATTACTTCTGCTACAAAACAAAAAACAGAATTCCAATTTTGGAAAAAGAGCCTATTATCACTAAAAAAAGACTATTGACAACTCTACAGAGTGGCATATTCATTCTGACAGAACAGGTGCAACTGGAAAAAATATTGTGAATTAACATGAAATTGCTCGAAGAAACTTCATAAATTTGACACAACGATATTAAAATCAAGAAATCTAAGGGCAGTTTTGGCATGACTTTTGAGACTAAAAAGTTGCTTTTGGTCATGTTTGAATAATTTTCTGCAAGTGTTGTGTTTTGACTAATTAAAAGAACTTTTAGAGGAGGCTAGTCCAAAGTAGCTTCTTGAAAAAGTTCTTATACAAAAAGTAAAAGCAGAACCTATCCCAAATAGGTCCTAAGTCAACTTTGAAATAGAAAATCTCAATCTGTCAAGATTATTAAGCTGAGGGCACTGCCTAAAAATGCATGAAGAGTTTATTGTCTAAGGTACCTGATGCAACAAGAATAGGGCATTAAAGTAAGTTGATGATTAGTTGATTTACTAAATAAGATAAGAAATACAAGCACAAGTACACCCTAAACAAGCCTAACACCTAATTACTGATAATGGGTTTGTTCATTTACAGCCTAGGTAGAGTAACATATGTGCTACTAAGCTCAACAGAATGAGAATCCAACTCAGCTTCACAAGCCATCCATTTGCGGCTCAAAGCTTGGCCTAATTGAGCTACTGGTTAGATTCATTTGCAATCTTACCTAACCAATATATTTAGATATTTTTGCATTTAATAAGATTAAGCCCTTGTTTGAGCCCCATTCTTCTGAAAATTCAATTTTTCAAAACTCATTTTCAACCTCACATTCTTCAATAAAATAATATTACACGTAAATTCAAAATTTTTCCTTAATTTTTAACCCCACATTCTTCATCAATCTACTATTCAAAATGCATTCTTTTCTCCAAAATGGGGCTCAAACAAGGGCTTAGTCCTAAAGCATGTACTTATCTCGTTGACTGAAGTTAATATGGTATCATATCAGTCAATCATCAACTCTAGCTCTCACAAACCTGCAAATATATCACCAAATCTTAGTTTTCCAAAAACTCTAAACAACCAATAGACAGAGCCTAACCTGAGGCAAGGCCCAAGAGGCGGTCGCCTCAGGCTCATAATTTTGGGGTCCTAATTTTGTTTTGTTTTTGTTCAGTAAATTTAAAACAATAGATATTAAAAACTTTTTTTTTTTTTGATAAGTAATCAAATGTTTTATTAATCAAAAGGTAATACACAGGAAGTGTATCATACACTTAAACAAGAAATAAACGTCATGAAATTAGACAACCCATCTATGTGATTAGAAGCTACAGCATTAAACCAATTATACAATGTCAAATAAAATAATTCTCTAAATTGCTCTAAAATCTTTATCTGATCATCAAAATAGCGTCTATTTCTTTCTCTTCACACGCACCAAACAATGCAGCTTGAAATAAGATCTCAAACAAGTTTACTGTCCTTGTCACGAAACTTTCTCCTCCATGCCTTCAACATATCTTCCATACGCCGTGGCATCATCCAATCCATATGTTGAGAAGCCAGAATATTATTCCACAGCAAATGAGTGCCATCACAATGCAGGAACAAATGGTTAATCGTTTACCCATCCTTTCTACACATATTACACCAATTTGTAATATAAAACCCCCTTACTCAAAGATTGTCCGCCGTTAATACTTGTCCCCTCACTACCGTCTATATTAAAAATGCCACCCTTGGAGGCAATTTACACTTCCATACCATCTTCCAAGGGAATAAATTCTCTGCAGATCCCAAGAGGGTTCTAAAATAAGTGCCAACTGAGAAAATGTCATCCCTTGTCACCGTCTACCTGATGCGGTCACTCTCACCTACCCTAATATGCACTTCATACAAAGAGGTCAATAGCACTGCATAATCATCCACTTCCCAATCTTGTAGTCCCCTCCCAAAAACAATGTTCCAGCTGATGCTCCCGTTATGTGTATCTAATACATCATTCACCATAGCAAATGACATCACGGCAATACGATACAAAGAAAGAAATCACTTCCTTTGCGGTTGATCAGTACACCAACAATCATCCCAAAAGCTGATAGTATTGTCATTCCCCACACCGAAGGTCACTCTATTCCGAAAGTCACTCCACCCTCGTCGAATATACCGCCATAAACTTACCCCGTAGGTACCACAGCTCTCAACTGAACACCATCCACCTTCCAAAATGCCATATTTCTCTTCTATAATTTCTCTCCAGAAACTCTCCCTCTCCACCCCAAACCGCCATAACCACTTACCAAACAAGGCCTTATTAAACAATACAAGGCTCCTCATCTAAGTCCCGCAACCCTTGTGGGAGAACAAACTACACCCCAATTTACCAAATGAAATTTTCTCTCCTCTCCTAACCCTCCATAAAGGAACTCCCTTTGGATCCTCTCTAGTCTCTTAGCCACTGTAACAAGAATGGGAAACAAAGACAAGAAATAAGTGGGAAGATTCGAGAGAGTAGATTTGATAAGAGTAAGGCGACCTCCCTTTGAAAGGTACATACGCTTTCAACCCACTAATCTTCTCTCCACCCTTTCCACTATACTGTCCCAGATGTGTTTACTTTTGAACCTTGCTCCTAATGGGAGTCCAAGATACGTCATAGGCAACTACGCAACCCTACAGCCCAATGTAGCAGCCATCCTTTCCACATTATCGACCTCTCCAATAGTGATGACCTCAGATTTCCCCAAATTTATCTTCATTCCAGATACGGCTTCGAAGCATAGAAGCAAATGACGCAAGTTCTTGAAGTGCTCAACGTCTGCGTCACAAAAGATAAGAGTATCATTTGCAAATAGCAAATGAGATATCTGCAATTGACCAATCCTAAAGCCCTTTAACAAACTTTCCCCCACAGCCTTTTCAACCATTTTACTGAGTGCCTCCATTACAATAACAAATAGTAATGGAGACAAAGGATCCCCTTGTCGCAAACCCCTACTATTCCGGAAATGACCTTCAAGAGTGCCGTTTACCATAACTGAAAAAGAGACAGTAGAAATAAAAAATTGAATCCACTGACACCACTTAGCCCTGAAACCACATCGCCTGAGCATATACAATAGGAATCCCCAGTTCACGTGATCATAGGGCTTTTGAATATCAAGTTTACATAGCGTCCTTGGAGCCCCTTGACGTAGTCTTGAATCAATGCATTCATTTGCTATGAGAACTAAGTCCAAGATCTATCGCCCTTTGACAAAAGCATTCTGATATTTAGACACCACTTTTCCCAGCACCTCCTTTAATCTATTAGCCAAAACCTTTGCAATAATCTTATACACCCCACTTACTAGACTAATAGGTCGAAAGTTCTTAATATCTGCCGTCTTGATTTTTTTGGGATCAGCACAATAAATGTGGTATTAGAGCTTTTCAAGAATCTGCCACACTGGAAAAAGTAAGCAAAAACATCCACAATGTCCGATCGTATCACATCCCAACAAGCCTTGTAGAATGCGAAGGAAAATCCGTCCAGTCCTGGGACCTTGTCATCATTCATACTGACCACCACCTCCATAATCTCATCCTCCCCAAATGGTCTTTCTATCCAACTGACATCCTCCTCAGAAATAGTGGAAAACTCTAGCCCCTCAAGCTCTGGCCTCCAATCAAACTGCTCCTTATAGAGGTTTTGGTAGAAACTCACCATTTGGGTACCAATATCCTATGGGTCCTCATAAGTTACCCCATCCACCTTCAGCATAGAGATACGATTGTTGCACCTGTTGGAATTGGCCACCCTATGGAAAAACTGTATACACTTATCTCCCTCTCTCAAGCACTTGACCCTAGATTTCTGGCGCTAAGAAATCTCCTCCATCTCCACCAACCTCTCCAACTCTCCCCTTAATTTTTGACGTCGCTCCCTCTCGTCCCCTCCCAATCCTCGACTTTCCTCCTTCCTATCGAATTCTTCTATTTCTGAGGTGCATTGATTTTTACGCCAGTTAACATCCCCCACCTCCTCCTCATTCCACCTTTTGAGGTCTCCTTTTAAAGCCTTTAATTTCTGGTTCAACACATAACTGGGGGACCCCCTGAACTTGTAAGAGGCCCACCAAATCCGTACTCGCTCCCCAAAACCGTCCATTTTAAGCCACATCTTTTCAAACCTAAAAAAGCCTTCTCCTACTATATCCTACATCCCCAGACAATAAAATTGGGAAATGATCTGAATACACCCTCCCTAATCTCCTCTAAGCAACGTCCGGGTACTTAGCCTCCCACTCCGCACTAATCAAGAACCGATCAATTCTAGAATGAACAGGTAGCTCCCGATTAGATGACCAAGTAAAATCTCCCCCCATCAAAAGCATATCCACCAACATATTCTCCCTGATAAAATTTGAGAAGTCCTCCATAGCCCCTGTTAGTCTCCCGCCGCTAGACCTTTCAGTAGGAAAGCGGACCACATTAAAGTCACCCCTATGAACGTTGGGAGATTCCACCAAGCATCATACCTGCCAATTCATCCCACAATCCATCTCTACTTTCATCGACATTAGGCCCATAAACTCCTATAAGCATCCAACGAAATCTGCCCCCAATATTTGTAAATGAAAGGGATAGGGAAAATAGCCCTTCACTAACCTCCTCCAACTGAAAGACTCTAGTATCCCACATAATTAGCACCCCTCCTGAACCCCCAATAACCCCCACAAATTGATACCCAATATGCTATCCCCCCCATAAGCTACTTACAACAGCCCTCGAAACGATCTCTAACTTTGTCTCCAGTAAGCAAACAATGTCAGCCTTCCAACCCCGTAAGAGATTTCGAACACCTAACCTTTTACCAGCTTCATTAAGCCCCCTCACATTCCAGCTAACTATTTTTGGGATCATCTTGACGCACCGTCATCCCTCCCCATCAATCCTCTTCTTGACTCACCACTCCTAATGTCATAATTAACCAAGCATTCAAGCCTTTTAAGCTCACGGTCACCCTTTCTTCTTGTCTAACTTCCTGGTGTATCTATCCCTTATTCCTTGCTCGCCTCAAACTCCTCAAATAATTGCAAGAGCTTATGTTCACACCCGTCGCAGGACACCCCCACCATTTTGCTGAAGTCCAAAATTATTTGAAGAGCCTAGCTCGATGGTGGTGGTCTAATGTCAAGCTCACTCATTTCCACTATCTCCCCAAAGGAAAATTGATCATATTGTAAGTCCTCTTCCTCTCCCCGAACTACATCCCTATGTATATCCTCCTTTTTGGAGCCCTCCACCCACACAACCAACGCTTTATCACTCCCTGATCCCCCTCATTTATAGACTTAGAATATCTCCTACAGTAGGTATTCGTAACCATCGTTGCCAAACCTATTGCCCCTTGTTGTTTCTCAATTGCTACATCCAGTTTCTCCGACTCCAAATTCATCAAACTCGGTTCCCCTTCCTTGTCCCTCACTTCCACCTCCGCCCCTCTACTTTGTACTTGGGCCTCGCCACTTGACTCAGCCATCACCTCTATAGTGTGGGCCCTCTTCGATTTCAACTCCTTAGACACCTCATTAGCAACTACATTTCCATTTGCTGTATAATCATCTGAGCCCACTCCACACCCATTATAACAAGAATTTGGGAAAATTATATTTTCAAATAGTGATTTTTTAAGAATGTTTGGTTAAAAAAGAAGAAAATTTTTGGGGTTACATGTAATATTATTTTCTTGAAAACATCTGGTTGATAAGAAGAGAAAAAAGAATTATAATTTTAATGGGGCTAAACAGGGGCTATAAAACCCCAACTAGTTTTTTCATGTTCTTTTACTCAATTTTTAAAAATTTTGCATAATTAGTTCTTAATCTTTAGCACATCTTAAAATCGCTCTCCAACCTTTACAATAAACATTTCAATCCCAAAATCTTTAGTTCTATTCGGACATTTTTTCCTTTGAATATAATACCATAAAAATTAATTTCCTCACTTTAGATACAAAAGCTGTTTTTTTAATGGCGGTAAAACACTATGTTTAGCACTTAACCCAATCTTTCAACTTTTCATTTTTTTTCCTTACATTTTCAATTTCAAGTTTGAAATAAAAACCTTTCCTTTTTTACAAAAAAAATCTAACTAAGATTTGATTTAATGCAGGACTATATACTCTTGTTTAGTTCAGCTAGAAAAGTTGATTAAAATCTACGTCAAAATCAACATTTCATTTTAACCACACATTTCACCCACAACTTTTCAACTGTAATTCCATTAGTTTTTACCAAATTCCAATAAAAATTCGATTTTTATCTAAATAAGACAGGTGCATAATAAGAAAGTTGTGCAAAATACTCATAAAAGACTACTATGTATCTCATGGCAATTTGTTTGCAAGATGTAGGAATATTTGTTTGCATTACTTTTGTATTTTTGTGCATGGGGAACTATGATTCCTATTTACTTTCCTACTTTTGCAGCAAACCCTTATGAAGAAAATTTTGAATCTACACTTCGATTAAAGGACCCAACTTTTTGAATATCAAGTCCTGTTCATCATTTTATTGTTAAGTTTAAGTTAACACATTTAGTTTCATAAAACTCTAAACCAAAAAATTTGAATGCCCAAATCCTAAAGCTCGCATTAGGCTCCGAAAATCTTAGGTAGCACCCTATCTATTTATATAGTCAATGAATCTCAATGTCTAGAAATGAGATATAAGAATGACAATGGTTGACATTAGTGACATGACTTCTAAGGCCACTAATTAAAATTGTTCTATTACTTTTCCATTGCAGTCAATTAAATTTTAGGATAACAAGCATGTAACTTTAAAATAAAATCATTACCCCTTTCATCACCAATTTCCCTTACATACTGATCCTACTTGTATCCTCCTTTATGCTTACATCTACTATAGAAAGAACAGTCTACTTCACAGTTCACGACTTTAATTAGCTCATATAATAAAAAAAATAAAAAAATAAAAATAGTAGAAAGTCAAATGCAAGTTAATCTATTGAGAAGTCCAGTAAAAATTGAAACTCAAATATACTCAATGAATCAAGTCTCACCCATGTAGGATTTCATAGATATATTAATAGATTAAGGACTAGTCCTCTTATAGCGAAGACTACCTATTGCTGAATTATGGATCAACTCAACGTTTTCAAACCCTTACTTGTAACCAGCTGACTTAATAGAACTCTAACTAAAGCTAGATTAACATTGAGTTATTTGCTGAGTTGGTGATTTTTTCATCGAGAAAACCAAGTCTTCAAGCAACTCTCTAGTGGGCATATCTAAAGGACTTCAACGCATCAAATTTAAGTTATTTAACTGCATATACACTTAGACAGGAAAACTCAGTAATGCACAAAAAATTTCACTTGCAGCAAGCATCCCTTCATCATATCCTCATATTTTTAAGCCACCAGTCCATTACAATTATGTTTCAGGTTATGTGTCCAGTCATAAAAACTACTTGGGACAATGACCTTATGTGTACAATGCCATTCGTAAGTTCTTATGTATCATTTGTCAAGAACAGTGATGTTATTTGTCCAGTATATGTGAAGAGGAGGTTCAAATTCACATACAAGACTCAGGTCTTTCAGCCACATAAAGCATGAATTCAAATTAGGAGAGAATAGGAAACCATCTACTTGGCTACAGACAACAAATGAACCAGATATTTATATATTATTAACACCCTGGTTAATATACAAAGAAACTTCTGCACCACGTTGCTCATAGATTATCATGATGATGTCCAACAGCTGAAACGTGAAGACTCCAAAAGTGAGTCTCTTAGCCTTTCCTTGACTTAGTTTTGGATGATTACAGAAGCAAAATTTGTCTTGCTCTATCATCGTTGTCCATTTGCAACAACTATAGAAATCCCATTTCATGTGCTCTCTCTTGAATTACACGGTAAAAACACTTACAGGTCCAGTAGTTACATAGAATGTTCTATTTATCTAAACCAGCTGTAAGGTCAGTTCTAGTCAATATTCCAGCTCAAAAAATAAAAAGCAAAATACAATCAAAACCCCAATATCATTCAAGCCCTAATCCATCAATCCTGAAAATTGTTGATTGACATGCATGCTTGCATACACAAAAACACTACCTTGGTGATAACTTTGTAGGAGATATAAGCCTGGACGCCATTGCCCATTTTAGCTGGATCAGTGACTGATACCGTTAAATACGGCGCTTGTGGCGACGGAGATCTAGGGCTTTGCACCACTGAACCCGATCCACTTCTCTCCAGCGTATTCATCTTAATTCAAAAATTCAAGAAAAATTACATTAATTCAATCTGATTGTACAATCAAATTGTAAAATTCTTTGTAGGAGATATAAGCCTGGACGCCATTGCCCATTTTAGCTGGATCAGTGACTGATACCGTTAAATACGGCGCTTGTGACGACGGAGATCTAGGGCTTTGCACCACTGAACCCGATCCACTTCTCTCCAGCGTATTCATCTTAATTCAAAAATTCAAGAAAAATTACATTAATTCAATCTGATTGTACAATCAAATTGTAAAATCAAAGGACTCGTATTTGAAAGATTATTGAATAATTAATTTTCTTATAAACAATGGTATAATTAAGAGGGAGGAAGCATATCAGTTATTACCGTCTACTTATGGATCGAGAATTTGCCTCGCGAGAACTCTAATGCCAGTATGCTAAAGGACAGGGAGGGAAAAGGCTCCTGGGAAGGGAACACTGGATATTTACCCGCCGGGCACTGTAGATTTTCTATTGTCCGCCCAGTGCCCAAGTCAAATTATCCTTTTTCATTTTCTCCTCCTTTTTTTTTTTTTGCCTTGGTTCTGGCTTTGGTTTTGGCTTTTGGTTATAATTTAAAAGGATTAAGAACTTGTTTTGGCAATTATTCTTTCTCATATTCATTTTCAACCACACATTATTATAATAAAATATTCTTCATATATATATATATATAATTCTATCAAACAAGGGTTAAATTTGTGCACTCCCTATAACAATTGATTCCCAGTAGAATCAACCTGCTTGTATATTGATTTTGTACAACTAGATTGAAAAATGCATTGATTTGATGTAGGTAAACTCGTGAGTCTTAACACTTTTATTCATTGTATTAATTTTTTAATTTTTTTTAAAAGATTGTCCAACATACCGCATATATCATTTAATTCGTGTTTAGCCATTAGTTTAATTAGATAATTCTCTTTTCTTCAATTGGTAGTTCAAATAAAATTTATGATTGTAAATTTAAGCACATAATAACAAGATTCTTGTGGAATCTATATCATTATTTTACTGGTGATGATTCGTACACTTGCGAAATAGCAAAAAGTAATAATGATACCAACCGATTATAACATTAATTTGAATATTTTAATTTATTGAATTTATATATATATTTCCTATTCTTATCGCCTAGTGCATGACACGGACGACTACCATGAATTTAGCTCATTTTGATTCAGTAATTGAATGTACATATCATTAGACCGCAAAAACAGAAAGACAACACCACGGAGCATAAAACGGAAATTTATTACCAACATACAATAGAGGATTTCATAACTCCTACTGCTAAAAGAGCTTATTCAAGCATTGTCGCAACAAGGATAGAGGTGAATAATTCTGAAATTAAATCAAGTACGATTGGGATGCTACAGAAGAGGTAGTCGTATTGACAAAGAAGACTATTAATGTTACCCAAGCCCTAACTTACGCATGAGAGCATTGTGGATGAAATCATCCTAGCATTGATTAATTAATTTTGGGTTGAAAATTCCATTTAAGTAGTCTCCAGAACAAGTCATCTACGTGCAAAATTTTCAGCACTAGCAAGTACTTATAATCAGGCTGTGGAAACCATTTCTAGCTAGTTTTAATGCACACGTTTTGTGCGTTTTACAATTATCGATAACTTATTATCCACGTATTTCGTATAATTATTCATAATTTATAATCACTTAAATATAAACATCTGGATGAGTTTTTCTGCCATTCTTTCATTGGAATTGGGCTGGGCTTGGTTTCTCTTTGTTGGGCTTGTATGGCTTACTCTTCGGCCCCTTCTTAGTACTAATGATAAGAGTTCCGACGTAGACATTAATAGCTCATGGGAAAATTACACAAATAGGCAATTACTATGGCTATTTTTAAACTTGGTCAAAATTTGAATTTAATCACCTTTCAAACATACATAATTTTCTCTTAAATAACTGAAAGCAAAGTTCGTCACATTGTGTGCTTGTTGCTCACTCTAACACCTGATTTATAAACCCTGTTAGGTGTAACCCTGTTAGGTGTAGAATAAATGTTTGCTAAAAATTTAAGTCAAAATTGATATTTAAATTTAAATACACATTTTATAGAAACACCAACTTTTTAACTACACATTTCTTCAACTTTTATTAAAATTTACCACAAATATAATTTTTAGCTACATCAATCCTAAGGACTAGATAAACCGAAATTAATTTCCTTAATGCAAGTCTTTTTCAAAATTAATTTCCTTAATGAAAATTTTTTTAAAAAAAAAAAAAAAAAAAGTAAGACGAGGGAGAGAGTAATATTAGATTTACTCTGAATTGTCCATTCATTTTCCATATATGAAATGGTGAGGAAATAAACAGAAGGGCTAAACAAAAAGTCCTAGTAAATTAAGGGAAACTTCAGGCAAATGAAGTTGGTTGGTGTTACGCTTCTTCTAAAAAGGTCCCATGTCATCATCAACGTGACAGTCAGCTAAGCAAATTAACAAGGCCAACACTTCACGTTACCTCTTATCTGGTTGAGGTGAGGTCACATTCAAGGTAGTTGAGGCGATGCATGATTTCAACCGACCATGTCATGGTCGACATCTATGGCCTAGGCGAAGTGCCACGCGTGCTGTAGGGTAATAAAATGGACCTCCCATATCACTTCTTCCAAAGAGATAATTTTTGCAGGATTTATCTACGATTGATTGATGTGACATCTCTACAATAAGCAACTAAAATATCAAATCGTTAGTCTATATTTCAAATATTAGACTAGGCTTTAGGGTGGCTGCTCGTCAAAAGCATTAAATGTTCGCCAACCTATGATGGATGGAGTGATCCCTAGGAAAAGACCTCAACTATCAAGGTAAAGCCACGTGTCACTTCATCTAATTATTATCATTTTTTTCTTTTTCTACTACTATGAAAATTCACACATTGTGTCATTTGAAGATAATGCAACTTTAGATACTCAGAGCTATAAATTTGCTCTCTATATACTCACTTTTTACCCTCCCTAATTTAACTTCTATAGGCTTAGTGGCCCACGTCTCTAGCAAGTCTCACTTCGTCACTTAACATTGATTGACTTGATCGTCAGAGTACATGCGATTGCCTTCCCCACTTTGAATAAGACCAAGTGTGACTTATGGTTTGTCCAAGTGTAAAGAACTAAAGACATACGTGAAACGAGAGGATCTGATATCTATTAGCCATGACACCCTTACAAAAAATGAGGTCAACAGTTGAAAATGTGATTTTTAGCCCAACTTAAAAAATGAGTTGATTGATATTAGTTCTTATATATCCTTCTTTTAGAAAAATAAAAGAGAGAAAGCACGAATTTACACGATTTGACAAACTCGTTGATGTGCAGGAGAGGATGGGAATCAATTCTTTAATCAAATCTCTAGCGCCCGTCTTGTACTGATTTTAAGCAAAAATGGATTCTTAGGCGTCAAAGTGTGGACAATTAAGAAATAATTTGCATTGTGTTGCAAACCAATGATGAAATTGTTGACTTCTGGCTTATCATCTCAGCAACCAATCGTTGTTGCAATGATCCGATCGATATGCCACTTCATTATGATCATACGAGGAAATAATTAGGTAGGATTTGGAGAAATGCAAGAAGGGGCAGAATGACCATTTCGGAAGTCTACTCGGTAGAAGTCGAAAGACAAATTTAATAATGAGACATGAGAACTAAGGGTCTGTTTGATTGCAAAGATGAAATTGAATTGAATTGAAAATGAATTCCAAGAAATTGAATTACCTAGATATTGTTTTCTTGAGAATTGTAAATTATTGTGTTTGATTGGGATAATTTTTCATGTGAAAAATGTTAAAATAAAAGTATTTTTTGATCTCCGTTTGATTTTGTTTTACATGAAAATTGTCAATTAAAGGGATAGATTTTATTGGTATTAGGGATGAAATTTGTTTCCATTGCCAACACACAAAAAAATAAATAAATAAAAATTTCAAGAAAGTCATTTATCTTTTAGTGTTCGTTTGACTTTGTTTTACATGAAAATTATCATTTAAAGGAAAAAAAAATTTACAATAATTTTTGGAATTTGCTTCCATTGTCAACACACAAAAAAAAAATCGAAAAAAAAGTGCTACAATAATCAAGAATTTCAATTCTTACCATTTTTGTGAAAATTAGAATTCAAGGAAAACCAAGAAAAGTCCATATTTCAAGACAACCAAGAAAGAGAATTTCATGGAAAAAAACCTACAAACACGACAAAAAGTGAAAGTTGGAAAACGAATTTTATTTTCCATGGAATTTGAATATCTATCAAACGAACCCTAATGTCATTAAATTTATTCAGAAGAGAAATTTGGAGTTAGAAAACATACGAAACAATATGCTTGACTTCAGAAATTACTTTTTTGAGAATGTGAACAATTGACTTAAGATTGACCCATCATCAGACTTCAATCAATTCTAACCATATTTTTCTAGGAGAGCGAAGTGGGAATGACGGAATAAAATGGATTTTGATTTATTATATGGAAAGCACAATTAGAAAAGGTGAAGAAAAGAATATAGAACGTATCCTAAAGAAGAAAAATAATGATATTTACAGTCGTTCACTACAACAGTCGTCCTATGTGATATACACATGACAGATGGTTATTTGATGCATTAATAAATAAAAAACTACCACATTAATGCATCAAATAATAACATGTCATGTGTATGCCACGTAAAACGACTACCGCAGTGAGCGACTACGAATAACGTTACTCAAAAAAAAAATGTAAAGCTGTTTAATAGAGAAAAATAGTTCCTATTGCCTTGAAACTTCCTACACAATTTATAAGGTCATTGACGAACTACATGTGGACGTAGAAGAAGGTAACTTCTTAAAGGTCCGTTTGGTTGCAAATATGAAATTTGGGTGGAAAGAAAACGAATTGCAGGGAATTTAATTGCCTAGAAATTAGTTAATTGGAAATTGTCAATTATTGTGTCTGATTGGTATAGTTTTCCAAGTGGAAAATTTAAAATAAAAATAT